AGGAGCCTTCTCTTCTCCAGCTGCCCCAGCCCAGCTCTCTCAGCCTGGCTCCAGAGCAGAGCTGCTCCAGCCCTCGCAGCAGCTCTGGGGCCTCCTCTGGACTTGCTCAAGCAGATCCTAAATCTAACCTTACCACACCACACCCAGTAGGTAAAGCCTCATGATGCTGCTCTGTGGCCTGTGAGAGGACAGCAGCCTTTGTCCAAGTTCTCCCACCTTGGTGGCTGTCACCGCTGTGGTCAGGGTCGCGTTCTTTGACGAGGAGCCGTTGGAACTTGCTGGTGACGTCTGAGCTGCCACAGATTTACTGTTTGCACCGTTTGCACCATTGGCTGCACTGGCTGAGTGGGAAAAAGTGAATTTGAATCCCCCAGCTGAAGTCCTTTTTGGAAGATTCTCTTTGTCTTCACTCTCCTTAGCTGAGGGACAAACAGTGTCACACTTCAGTATCCGCTGTACTCCACTGAGTACAATCCTCATCACAGCATCATCACAGCACAAACCCCATCTTATGTCTTTAATTCAGTTTAAATCAACAGCTGCCCACTAACCTCATTCAGAGCACATCAGCATTCAGACTGTGAATGGCACAGATGCTGCAGAGACCGGGACACTGCTCGCTCAGCACTCACAGTAGATGTAAAGTTCTGCTTCTGAATGTCATTTAAACTAGATGCATGCTTGAAGCAACTGAAGTCATTACTTTAATCCTAAGATAGCTTGCAAGGACATGTTAGGAATTCATTACCTAATTACAAAGAATACCCTTACTCCTGCTTGTGATACAGAGCATGAGCAACTGGTTTGTTTACAAGACACCCCACGCATCTGCCATAGAGAATTCCAGTGCTGAGAAGCTGAAATCGAGTCAATACCTTTTTTAGTTTCCATAAATTTTTCATAGCTATCTGGAAAATCATCCTCCTGTTTGGACTTCTCAACTGGAGGCACAACAGCTTCACCTTCTTCCTCTTCGTCTTCATTGAACCACATTTCTTCATCCTCCTCTAAGGCTCTTGCGTCTCTGCGAAATCTATTGCTACGCAATATAGATGGAACACTGTAAGAGACACAGGAGAAGTGATTCCAGTTTCGCCTGCTGCTTCACACTCAGCTGGGATCACAAGTGGCTTCTCACACTTCAGAACACATTCAGTGCATCTGACAGGGCAGTCCAGCTCCATCCACAGCCCGGCCATCAACACAAGCATCACCAAACCCCAGCTGGCGGGAAGGCAGAGTGGATCCTAACTCTGAGCAGCAGCAGAAGATCCTGCTCTTTGGAAGCTCAGAGTTTTCTGAACGTAACATTTACCACACTGACAAATTGCAACGGTACCTCAGCAGGACACAGAGCAAGTCAGCTGGGGTTTACTCTAACTGGAGAAGCTTTCATCAGGAATGAAGAACCACCCCAATCCCAGCCTTCTGCCTTTATCTGCCCTCTAGGAAAGAAGGGAAGTCTCAGACCACCTGAACTGGGTCGTACCTGTTCAGTTTCTGGTTTTGTCGGTCTTTTTCTTGCTCATATTTTGTCTTCAGTCCCTTGAACGTCTGAACATACTCAATAGATTCAAGTGCATTATAAAAGTTTTCAACTATATGTGCAATAAGGGACTTAATATCTTCCTGCAGAGGAACAGAGCAGGGTTTCAGAGTCAAACATTAACATGCAGAAGCTGGGAAAGCTGTAGAATGTAGTTTGAAAAGTAATAGATTCATTTTCCAGAGTCAAAACATGACTGTAAAGAACAAGGGTGAAGTCATCAGATGAGTTAATAAATGATTAATGAATAATTAATTAAAAAGCTGAGATCTAGAATTAATTATTAATTCCCCCTATAAACAGACAACACACTCGGTCCTGTTCCACTTCTGCCTGCGATAGTTTGATTAAACCATGATGCTTGCTCTCTAGGATTAACCTTCTTGAGAAAAGCAGGAGTTCAGCTGTGCCCTGCCCTCCCCACAGGTTTAAGCTCTTTCCAGGACTCAGTAACTAAAACAGCACCATGGGATAAGGCACCTTCTGGTCACTCACCCTATAACAAGTCTCACTATATCAGGCAAATCTCAATGTTCTACCGTGCTGGGGAAAGTCACCCAGAGACACAACACATTTCCTTCTTGCTGGACAAGACACCAGCTATGATATCCCATGAGTAAAATCCACCCTTCATTTCCACAGGCCACAAAGACTCCCTGAGAAGGCTCCCACACACCAAAACATTTGCAGTGAGTGGCTCAGGAGCTGTTGCAAGTCCTTGTTTTGCACCCCAGCAAAACAAACAACTGGGTGCTCCTGCTTGTCCTGTCTGTCCTGTCCACATCCACAGGGTTCCTACAAACATTGCTGGTGGAAAAGCTACTGATCCAAAGCTGACACTGGCCAAGTGTGTTGGATTTTAAAGGACCAACGATCACTCACATTTATAACCAACTAGTCTGATTTAGAGCCAAAAATCACAGAATCCCAGCCTGGTTTGGGTTGGAAGGGACCTTCAAGCTCATCCAGCTCCAACCCCTGCCACGGGCAGGGACACCTTCCACTAGAGCAGGTTGCTCCAAGCCCCTGTGTCCAACCTGGCCTTGAACACTGCCAGGGATGGGGCAGCCACAGCTTCTCTGGGCACCTTGTGCCAGCGCCTCAGCACCCTCACAGGGAAGAGCTTCTGCCTCAGAGCTCATCTCAATCTCCCCTTGGGCAGGTTCAAGCCATTCCCCTTGGCCTGTCCCTACATCCCTTGTCCAAAGCCCCTCTCCAGGTTTACTCAAATATAACATATTTCACTGAATTCCTCAAAGCTTGGTCCAGACACAAGTCTATGAAGGGACAATGCACCTAAACAAGCACGAAGCAGCTCACTGCCTCCTCTCTGTTGGATATTCATCTATGGGATTTTAGGTTGCGATTTTAAGCAGTGATAAACTGTTTCAGGGAAAGATCTGCAGTTTGTACTTCCACCTGAGGCACCACGTACGTGTAAGAGCTGCTCAACTTACCACTCTGATGAATTCAAACAGCTCAATCACAGCAGAGTTGAGCAGATTGTACCTAGTTCCATTATCCAACAGAGCGTTTATAACTGGTTCAAACAGGTTTCCCTTGGTGATGTAACGGTTATAAAATTCATCTTTTAGGCCAATTATCCTCCTCATAAAGCGAAGAGCACCTGTATGAAGAAAGAAATTCAAGGATTTAACAACCACATGCCAGGGCTCCAATCTGCTTCCCTTGGAAAGAAACCTGCTGTTCAGGAGAGGAAGACGTGCCCCAGAGCAAGAGCATTACAAAGCACTGATAGCTCGGGGGAAGCACTTGCTGACAGGTAACCTTTATTTCTTTCTTTGACTTCCCCGGGTATTTAAACGTGACCAGGGTCCATTCGTTTCTTGCTGATAGACAGCAGCAATAAACTTTAGCACATGTGAAGTTAAATTCTTAGCTCATTCCTGTGCTTTTCTGCGTTCCCCTCCCAGAACCAGCCCCGTATCTTTAAATTCACAACATTTCCTCCACAAGGAGCTCTAGATTCAGGACGTTAAGGAATTACAGTATTTCCATTTAAATAAGACAAATGCTCCTTAAGTCATCAAGACTTGAAAGGATCACTGTGGACCTCACAAGATACAACCACCCTCCTCCCACCACAATGGCATTGGTCTACGTTAACAGGCATCTGCTACCTTTTTTCAACATTACTTAACAGCCAGTCAGTGACAAACAGCAAATTAAATGAATTTGGAACTTACGTAAAGACTTTTACACATTCCACACAGAACATGAAATGCCTCAAAGAAGGAAATCACAACAGCTCCGTACTCACACAAGGCCAGAAAGGTGTGTTTTGAATTCATCAAGACCAGTACTCTCCTTAGCAAATCTTTGTTCATAATGTAGTTCTTGATGTGATACGTGTGGTGCTCCACACAAAAAGTCAGCAGCTCCAAAATTAAGGCAAGTAGTTGTGCCGTTTGGTAATTATCTGCAGGAAAAATTAATGCCTTAAGTTATATATATATATATGTATAAAGAAATCAAAGTACTGTCATGCACCAAAGCATCACCAAGCTCAGCTGCTCTTCCAGCTCCTGACACTGCTTTAGGAAATGGGACACTGGGTCGGAACAAAACCACTACCACAAATTTGGTGTTATTTCCCCCCTCAGTCACAAGAATCACCCTGAATTGGCAGCAGGACTTGTCCAGGACCAGTGAGTCACTGGTTATAGCAATGCAGGCTGACTGTATGTAGGTAACAGAACTGTAGTCCTGTGAACCTAGTTAGCAACGGCTTTTCATAAGCTCCGAAGTCTGCACAGATAAAAATCCAACCTGTAAAAGCTCTGCTGTGCCTCTTTAGTACATGTTCTGCTAAAAACCTCCAAATCCAGTAACTCAAAAGCAGGTGAAAATGTTCAAAATCATGGAATTACAGAATGGTTCGGGCTGGAAGGGACATTAAAGATCATCTAGACCTCTGAAGATCATCATTCCTTCAGCTTCCCATCATCTCAGGTGAGGCAAAGCACCTGCACCTATTTCAATAAAAACTATCAAAAAAGAAAAAGTATGGACATTCCTAACTTTTTGTTTTAAGGAAACCCACCACACAGCAAACAAAACAAGTTTAGAAACTCAAAGTCAACTAAAACTTACCAGGACAAATTGTATTACTCTTCGTGGACCCAACTACTGCATCTGATAAAGAAAAAAATAAAGCCAAACATCAGGAACAGGTTTTCTAAGGCCTGTAAATATTTAAAAACTCTGTAATATTTAAACCATCAGTTCCCCCAATTGTTCAACCTTTTCATGTAAGCCCAGGTTTCTGTAAGCTACAGGGAAATAAAGATACAGCAAGAATGCACTTTCTATGTTCAATTTATATTGCAAAGCTTCAAATCCAACTAGGTAAAAACACACAATCCAATACTTAGGAACATTATTCCTACCTAGACTGAAAGGAAGTGCCTATTCTCAATGTTTCAAATAAGATTATGAGTTCTACAGATACTCTGCAAGTTCTCTTTTCACATAAACCCCATAAAACATTTATTTTTGACATAATATGATAAGATGGGTAAAATGAAATAATGTTTTTGCCAACTACATATTGCTTTGATTTAATCTCTTGAAAGAATACTGGGAACAAACTCTGACTGGAGAGGCTGTAATGATGTTACATTTCTGTCTGCAAAGCACCAGAGGCAAACTGGTGCTTGTTATCTGCGTGTGCCAGAAGAGATTCCAGTTCTGTTCCTGTGGCCAGGGAAAGTTAGGAAAGAAACAAGAGACAGGAGTTCCAAGCTGTATTGCTTTGAAGAGATTTCTCTTAGCATTTCTATACACAGCCAAGGGAAAATCAGTCTTAGGAGTCCACCACCTGAGCACCCAACACCCAGAATCACGTAACCACTGATGAATGCCACAGGGTTTTGTACGCTTTCAGATAAAACTACCTCTCAACTAAAGACACTCTGCTTTACAGCAGATATCCTTCAAAATTATACCAGTAAAATGAGTACATAAGTAACAAAACACATCCAAGAGAGAAATCTTTCACAAAGCACAGTGTAAAGATACATTAATGCTCAGAGCTGCACGAAAGAGCTACTCAGACTCTGCCCACAGAACCCCTTCACTGAGGAACACCAGTTCTCAGCAAGTGTATTCCCAGCACACACCATGGGCTCCTCCCTGCTCCAGGACTGTAAAGCACTTGGAAACATTACAACTCCTAAAGGGAAAACAACCGATAAAAATGAAGATTACCTTTTTCACATTTATCTTCTGCTGTATTGGCCAGAAGCGGTGCAGTGAGAACGTGCATACAATGGTTGTAGAAGAAATTGAGAAATTCACTTTTTTCTGTTTTCTGAAACAAATACAAATTGATTAAACACTGGCATTTGTGTCTAACCCTTTAAATAAGAAACAGTACCACAGGAAACAGCCTATGGAGAATCCTATCGACTCCTTCAGCTCTGCCTGTACCTATTTGGTTGGGGCTGCAACACTGCTGTCACTCAAGGAAGATGTATTCCTTTATTTTGGGAAAAGATCTGTGAGACATCAAACCAACCCAGCTACCGCCAAAACAATCCCCACCGTGGATACAAATACACACTGAAAACACATCAGTGACTCAAAGTGCTTGGCAAAATCTGCTTAAACCATTCTTAAATGCAGTAATTTTATCCATAACAACCTGCAAACCTTTTTTAAACTGAAGAACAAGTATCATCTGGTCCATTTTACTACATTCTATACAAAATATGTGTATCAATATGTGACTCAGATTACAATCTGTTTTCTTACATGGAGTATGCATTAAATTACAAATACATTGTACTCTGGTTTGGATTCAGAACGTCAGCAGCTGAAACAAAGGAGCGATCCAAGTTTTAAAGCTATTTTCCATAAACTGCCTATTCTTACTTTGACATCTGAACACAAGTGAGCAATTTGGAATCCAACAATATAAATAAATCCTTTGGTATGCCACTAGTTGGATCAAGTTGCATCTTTATTGTGCCACTGGTATTAAAACACTGATTTGGTTTCATGCAAACTCTACCAGACTCTCTTTCAGTATTCATCATCCAGCTAGCAGGTTATGATCAGACTGGTGCTGCTTCACTGAAGCACTGGACTGCCTGGTTTCAGAAGTACTTGTACAACACCACATACTTTCGATTATCAACAGCTGATGGAACTTTTAGCTTATTTTTCTAAGCTTGAATTCGGTATCAGAGCACAGACAACACTCAATAATAATAAAAGAAAATATCTTCTTTTATGCTCTGACCGCAATAACAGTAATAGAGTATCAGGTTATGAACTTTGCTGAGACATTAAAGTGTCTTTACCCCTTTGGATTTTCTTACATTAGCTGTGGCCAACATATTCTCTGGATCTATCAGAGTCCGCAAAAGCCCCATCAGCTGCACGGCTCCCCCGAGCTCGGGATCGGTGTCACAGATCATCTGCTCAATGACCACGTTGATGAGGAGGATATCCTGCAACAGAGCCCAAACAAACCACAAGGGAATCAGACACAGTTTCAAGAGCAGAATAAGTTCCCAGTTACTCTATTAGGTTTCTTTTTTGCACAACCCCTCACCTAAAATCATCGTTAGGCTCAAATACAGTCTTATTACCTGGAACACCAATGTGCTCACAAATCTTTGTACCATAAATCTACGCTTTCCTGAGCTCCTAGCATCTACATTCTGGGGCTAACTGTATCCCAAATTGTGCAGAGGTTGGTTTTGCTGTGGTTTTTTCCCGTTTGCTCTAAAACTGGTATATTCAACAAACTTCAAACTACTTTTACTTACATCATCACTCTGCTGAGCCTCTTGCATTACAAATTCTCGGACCATGGATGGACTAAATTCTACTAGATAAGAAAATATATCTGTAGCAGCAGATCTAACTTGCAGATCATCCATTCCCTAACAAAAAAGAGAGAACAATTTATTAGAGTAAATCAAATTTGAGATTTATTATCTATTTTCCCCCTTTCCTCCCCTGGATTCACAGAGAGCCACAGGGTGCGAGGCTCTCTGTGAATCCAACAGCACTAATTTAGGCAGGAAACATTTCTACCCTACTTGCTAGAATACTTAAGACACTAATATCCTGTACCTGTTATCCAGAGTTTAGTGATCTCCTACAAAAGGCCCAACTGCACAAATCAATTCATACAACATTTCCTGTACTCATTTATAGACACAATAACTAATAATTTATATGATTTTCCCTGGTAACTGAACAATTTCTAAGCCTAAAATATTGATGTAACAGGAAACATGCTACAGGCCCTAGAAAAGAATAATGAGATTAGGGCTCATCTGATCACTGAACACCTCAACAGCCCATGTCCTTCAACAAGTTCACATGTTTTTACCCTACAATATAAATCTCCTTGAATTTACAGGTTGTGAGTCACAGCAGCACTGGCACATGAATGACAAGAGTCAGGCAGCAAGAGCTGCTCCCACCAAAGGAGTGAGAAAAACGCATGTTCTCACATTGCTGATTAAGATGGATTAATCTGCTTTAGACCTCTGCAAAGACAGGATTAGGTGATCTTCAGATAGGAACAAGCTAACAGGTCAAGATGAGCTAAAAATACTTCTTTGGCACCATCCCAGTAACAACAACAACAACAGAAAAGACATCAATCAAGCTGCCACATGAGAAGGAGTAGCCTTCAGTTTTTTTACACTGAGTTTACTACAGACTTCTCCATCGTCAAAAGTAGAAATTATAATAAGAATAAACATCTTTTGGATTCTGAATTGGAAGCTGAGTAAACCTCAGCCTTCAGCAGAGTGAAGCTGTGCAACCAAACCTACACACACAGTGGCTCAGCAGTACTGGAAACCTGGTGAAATGGCTGCGGGGTTTTCAATGTTGTTAAAATCAGTGCTAAGTTCTCACTCACCATTACAATCTCAAGGGCTGGAAGAATTCCCAACTTTGCCAACGTTTTGAAAAAAGCATCTCTGTTCTGAGGTTGTAACGTCTGGGAAAATGCACAGAATTCCTTGAAAAAGTTAACCTGTAACAGGGAAAAAAATCATTGAAGGTGTATCTGAGTCAGAGAACTCTCTGGAAGTAGGAAACTGCTACTACGTGTATCCGAGCTTGTGCACTGGCTGCTATGTGCCTTCCTAGAAAATGGTATATTCTAGTTCTCCTTCCTCCAACCTTGAACAACATCAATAAAGCAAAAGACAGTTAAAAATGAACGAACAGAAGTTTAAAAGGTTGAAATTTACCCCAGAAAGAAACACAGGGACCTTGTAAGTGACTGTGTTATCTCAGCCAGCACATGAAGGGTTCATCCTCTTGCCTGCTGCACCTTTTGTTGGGAAGAACAAAACCTAACCCTAACCCTTGCCAAGAGCAAGATTTCAACAAGGCAATTTAAGCTGGCAAACATACTGAAGGATAAATAATGTTTGTAATATCTACATTAAAGGACTAGTAGTAATCCTCAGTCATAGGACTTAAGAAGATCATTTCTGAATGCATAAAGTACAGTGACAAAAGCAGCGTTTAGATGACAAATAGAAGTGATAGGGTACATTGAAGAGTACCTGGAAGAAACTATACCCTTAAGCCTAGGATGCCAGCTTAGTGCTAGTACTTTCTCAGCAATAAATTAATCATTTAGAACAAATAAATCAGAGTGAGGAGTATTTGTCTATTGAGTACATAAAGGAAGACTGAGCTACACTGGAAATGGTTCTGGGGTTAGAGAAACGCGTCAGTGACTGCAGAACTCGCAGTAACTCTGTTACTATTTGTACTCGATCTGAGTAGTTTGAAGCATTCACAGAACCACCCTGACCCCGACTTACCAGTTCACACCGTTTGTCATCATCTGTAGCTTCATCTGTTAACTGTGCAAAAACTTCAGACAAAAATTTCTCGTCTTCCTGCGTGACACACAAGAGGAACACAACTTACACAACGCGTCTTGGGAGTTAAACCATCCATCTCTACTGGATCCCACACTGTAGAAAGTCAAACTGAACCTAGGCTTAACTTCAGTTACAGACAAAACACCATGAGTTAGAAGATTTGTAGATGAGGGGTTTTCTTTTCCTTTTTTTCTCCACACCTCCCTGACTTTATCACAAAAGGGAAATGCAGAGTACACGCTCAGGAGGATCATTTCCAGTGTATTATTTCAGGATTCATTCTGTGCAGCAGAAGTAGGTCCAAGAGACCAGAACCATACGTTAGGCAGAGCATAGGTGACAACTACTAAAACTGCTCTCCGAATGACCCACGCACTCACTGTATGATTTGCCACAAACCCAAATTACAAACACTGTCAGTCTTCCATACAGCCCCAGCCTGGTTTGGGCTGGAAGGGACCCTAAAGCTCCTCCAGCTCCAACCCCTGCCACGGGCAGGGACACCTTCCACTGGAGCAGGTTGCTCCAAGCCCCTGTGTCCAACCTGGCCTTGAACACTGCCAGGGATGGGGCAGCCACAGCTCCTCTGGGCACCCTGTGCCAGCGCCTCACTTTTGCTCCAGGCTCCCTCCCTGCACCTTCATGAAACCTTCCAGGGATCACACACACTTTGGTAAGTGTAAGTCTTTTAACTTCTTTCCATACCCTAGAAAGTGCCAAGACACATTTTGACGTGCTGCACCTATGCTGCTCACACCACGCTGTTAACATGACCTGTGTAACAGTTACCCTATTCTGGGTCTGCAGAATCACAAGCACTTTGTCCAGCCACCTATGAGAGGGTGACTAGATGAACACTATGAATTTGCTGCAACAAAATCCCCCACTTGTAGTTCAGCTTTTCCAATCTGGGATACTTGATTACCACTTGCTTTTCATATTCAGATCCTCTACTACCAAGAGATACTTATTTTTAAGTACATATAGGACAATGTTTCACTTCTTGTTAAGCATTTCAGTCACACCACTGCTTAATATTGAGGGGTACTAGAAAACCAGGGTGAACATCATCATCTCTCAACTCTTTGGGCACCTTCTGCCCGCTCTGTACATCAGTTTCTCTCCATGGAAAACGGTGTTGGCATTCTCTCAAATCAACTGCCTCTGTTACCTTTTAAACACTACACAAATCCTAAAGCAAATAGTAACGTTACGCTACAGCGTTACAAAATGGTTCATAGTTGCTGATTCAACCCTTCAAACTTTACTTATGCACTGAGCAAACACAAATGGAATACCAGCATTCCTACA